TAATATTTGCTAATTTAAAAAAATACATAGGGCGCACTATATGGATACGGAAATGACCACTTACATAAACAATATTTAAAAAGTGATTACAACATTTGAAAATGGAACTCTTTGGCTGTAGAATATAGTTTGTTTCACCTGACTGTCGCTTGTATTTATAATGTGGCGTCATTTTATAAATTAGTTGTCTTCATCACCTTGGATTTAACTCTTAAAAATTTTCGTAGTATGATTGTCTATGACTTTAAGCGTAACTTAACAGCTCAGCGGAGCTTCGCTCGGCTTCAAACTGCTTTTGGCGATGAAGCACCACAGAAGATGACTATTTATAGCTAGTTTGCACAATTCAAACGCGATCGTGTGAATCTCAGTGACGAATTTCGTGATGGTCGCCCGTCCACTGCTATCAAAAACAAAAACATCGATGCTGTGCGCCGTATGATCAAAACAGACTGGCATGTGATATACCATGAGATTCGGGCATCTTTAGGCGTAGGCATGAGTCAAATACAATCAATACTACACAAACTTTTGGGTGTGAAAAAGCTGTGCTCTCGGTGGATCCCACACAATTTGACTGAGGCTCAAAAAACGGATCGCGTCACTTGGTGCAATGCCATGCTTACCAGATTCAACGAAGGGGCGTCAAATTTGGTATGGGACATAGTAACAGGTGACGAAACATGGATTTATAGTTACGATCCCAAAACAAAGCAGCAATCGAGCGTATGGGTCTTTCGAGATGAGCCGAAACCAACCAAAGTGGCGCGCGTGCAAAGTGCTTCTAAGCGGATGATTACGTCTTTTTTTAATAAAGCTGGACACGTGGCCACTGTTGCTTTGGAGAATCGTTGTACCGTGAATAGTGATTGGTACACGACCATTTTGTTAGCCGGAAGTTATTGACAAACTCCGTAAAAATAACCGTAAATACCGTACCAACTTGCACCACAATAATGCCAGTTCTCACACGGCCAGACGGACAAATGAATTTTTGAAGGTGAGCAAGGTTGACCTTATGAGGCATCCCGCGTACAGTACCGACCTGGCATCTTGTGAGTTTTATTTATTTCCAAAAATTAAGAACCAGTTTCGCGGTCAATGATTTTCATCACCTGAAGAGGCTGTCGAAGAGTATGAAAAATATGTTTCAGAGATTGTCACGGAGGAGTGGCATAAATGTTCTCAAAATTGGTTCATTCGTATGAAAAAGTACATTAACGCTAACGGAGAATATTTTGAGAAACAATAACTTTATTTCTGACCATTTATAGTATTTTTTTTATTGATTCCGGAAACTTATAGTGCGCCTCACGTATAACTAGTTTAATCTTTTATATTACATTGAGATTTCGTTCTATTGATCTACCATTTACTGATTTTGAAGAAATTGACTTTTGGCAAACCTATTTTGAATAGACGCACAGATAGACGCCACACGATGAAAATACTAAGAAGGATAGATAGATTCATAATAAAATGTTTTATTTGTAATCTTTAATATATTGTATGTATACATATTATATATCTAATAATAAATATACATATTTAAAATTACTACCTACTTCACTACCTATTTCTGTAGGCATCAAAACACTTTTTACAAATTTTTTTGTTTCAAATTTGTCTTTTCGGTACTTCTACTTACTTTTAAACTACTTACTTTTAAATTTTTATTGAATTGATATTCAATTATTTTTATGTGAAATTACTCCACTAATTTGTTCACGAATCCGGCCGGGTCGAAGGAATTTTTTCTGAGTGTACTTTCATTTACTTGTCTTCGTCACTAAAATAATGTATTTCTTTTATTTTCTTTTCCTAACTCTCTCGTCTTGTTATTTGCACCTAAGGATACCTCTACCGCGCAAAATCGAGGCGACTATTCTTTTTGATATGGATAAACGCACTTTTATTATTAAACAAAACTATATACAAAAGAGCTATTACTGACACCTAGTTATGCAGTTGATGAACCAGTGTATTGTTGTAATAAAAATAAAACGGAATTTGTTATAACTTACAAAGTAACGCGAGAGTAAATACTTGCGTCTGAAATGTTGAACCACTTGTCGCGTTCGTCGCGGAGGTAAACACATACACAAGCTAAACGCGTCTATTCCACACGAAGCCCTGCAGGGGATTTGATTAGTGTTGTCTATACTCTTTATTTATACTAATTATTCTTTGTTGCAATTTTGGGAAGTTAGAGGAGGCACCTGAGGTAGGTACTGCGGCATCTGGTCAAGAGCTGTACACGATGTTTCCCCATGTTGTCATCCATTAGTTCTATGAATGTATGCTGATATTCCACTAACGTCAAACCTTTCCCTAAGACTAAACCATCTAAATATTCCCTTTCGTATCCTTTTCGAAAAATCATCTTTTTCATTTATAAAATATTCTTACGACTTTTTCGTTTCTCGCCGAGAGTTCCACCACAAACATGACGCAACCGTCTGGTTTCTACAGCATTCACCTTACATATTCTTCCTTTTTCTCCTCCCAAATTTTGAATTAATGAATAAAAAGCCGAGCACTCCTTTTTCGACTGCCACTACCATGGCAAGTGTGCAGAGCTCAATTACATGATTCCAGGCTATCGTTCTTCGTTCATTCACACTTATCATCTGTTCGCATTTTACCCAAATTCGCGACTTTTTCACTCGTTCTAGACGTCAATGTAATTTCGCATTGGTCCCTTCATCTTCAATCACCATTACGTTCATCTTATTGACATATACATATATCCATTTGCTGCACGATGCACGCACACTCTTACCAATTATTGCAGCTGTTCCACTAACGAGGCATGATTGCTGACATAAAGAAGGCATTTGACAAATCACTCGATTAATTCTTTATCCATTTTAAATATCATCACATCATAATAAATGTAACTTTATATATATAGAATTCGTTACATTTTCGTTCTTCACATTTATCTACGAATGTTGCTCAATCAGAGCCGAACACAATGGAGCAACCACAGTGGGTGGAATGCGACGCCGTCTGTCGCCCGTTGTCCGCTCCAGCGGCACGTACCGACGACGCCGCGCACGTGATTGCGCCTACGCATCAGTCCACTACGTGGAAAACTGTTTTCACACGAACTCGACGCAATCGAAACACATGTTTTTAAATTACACATTTTGAAATGATCCCTGGCAAAGTTTTCATGTAGCTTATACATCCACAAAACATACGGCATCGTGGTCACAGAACCATTTTCTATTTGTGGAAAATGGTACGTGCGTCGCGATGGTAACGTACAGCTATCCGCGCTACAAATAAAGGTTCTTGCTGCCTTGCGGTGAACCTCATGTGTTTATATCTACTTCGCAATTATCATTTATTGCGAGCGAGAATATTAGTTACCTGTCGACCGATTACTATTTTTCGAGATTATTTAAAAATTAAGTGGTAGCCATGTGGCTAGTTTATTTTTCTAAAAACTAATTTCACGGATCAAAAACAGGCAGTTTATATGAAATTTATGAATGAATATTAGTACGTATAAGAGTACGTATTCACGTATACCTCATCTTCAAACAAATAGGTTCCGAATGAAATGTCACCTAATACATTTATTTTACCGATGATTTGTACACAACCTATACGAGCTGTACTGCGTTAACGTTTGGATACATAGATTTCCTGCATTTGTTGGTTTATCACCTACGAAAGATGCGAGTGAAGCGTTCCCTGCATACCCCAACCGGAAAAGGTTGAGGAAAAATATTTTTTTTTAAAGCGAAATTTCAAGTTCGTTCGTACAAATCGGGCATTTGTGGGTAATAATTTAAGGTTTCCGTTACTTCTTTTGAAAATGGAATATTTGTGTGTACATTCAAAGCAGATGTGCGAAGCGCAGTCAGGTGAAGGCACCAGTGACAGTGGCAACGACGGGTTGGGTTCAAGAACCTTCGCGGCGCTAATGGCGCCCGCGGCCGGCGGCGACTAATACGTCGGCTCGTTACGCCGACGCCGTTGACGTCGTCTACTTCACGGAGCAGATACAGACGTCTATTTATTTTATTTTTGGCCAAGCCATGTACGGCTTTTGTATATATATATATATGGTCACTGGAGCGAATTGCAAAAGCCGCGTAAGATGAGAAATACCGCCCCGGCCTATGATGATAATGTATGTACTTAAATAACTTCATTGGTCAGAAATCGATCTTCCCACTGCTCCTTCCTGTCCGTCTCTATCTCCTCCTCCGATCCCTCCAAGCAGCTTAGGTTATTGGGAACTGAGATGTTGTTTTTCGGCGTCGGGAAGTGAGGTGCCTTACCTTAAAGTAAGGAGGGTGCTGTACGTGCACCCGTGGCGACTCACCTTAGGCCATGCAAACGGGCTGATCTGGGATCAGGATTTGACTGAGTAGGTCTCTGTGCGAGCTAGCTTACACAAGTCGTAGTGCCCTTCCCGTATAACCAAAAAGTTGACAGGGAGGGTCACTATAAATAAAACTTATATACAAAAGATATAGGAGCTATCCGTCTCTATCATTCTACCTCGTACCTTGTCAAAATGTTCGCGGTATTTACCAATTTAGTCTCCAGTGGTAATCGGAGGTGATTGTTGCCGTATCCGAGTTTATTTATTTGGACTACGATTTAACTGGGACAGAGCCTTTCACGACTATTGATATCTATTTTGTATTTGCTGTTCAATAATGATTGCCTATTAGGAACGAAACTCAAAATCACAGAGCACGACTTTGACACCTAGCACAACGGTATCCGTTTTGGAAACCAGCGATCAGCAGATCTACTGAAGGCAAAAGACCAACACACGTTTCGACAAAAGGAAAATAAACAATACCAATATAATTTAGTGAGTTTCGGAAACGAGAAATTGTTACACGAGATACAGTAGTTTATTTGTGTAGCCGCTACGTCGAGGCGTCAGTTTGGAAAAGTCGCGTTTCTGATGAAACCTTCCCAAGCGGAGGAGGGCGAAACGGTGCAACAAAAGTAGGCAAAGCACTCACTGGTCGGCGTGGTGGTGGTGGTCGTGCGAGTACGGCGGCGGCGGCGCGTACTCGTAGTGCAGGCGGTAGTCGTCGCGGCGCTCGGGGCTGGGGCTGAGGTCGGGGCTGCGGCCGCGCAGGTAGGCGCCGTCGGTGCAGCCGGGCGCGGCCAGCGCGGGCGCGGGCGCCGGCTTGAACAGCGCGTCCTCGAGGTGCGCGTAGGCCTGCATGTCGCGCGCGTGTGGCGCGAGCGGCGCGGGGCCCGCCGCCGGCCGCAGCTCCTGGTAGCTGCGCGAGTGGGACGGCGACAGGTCGCTCGGGTGCGGGTGGGCGTAGCCGAACGCCGGCAGGGGGGGCGGGCTGTCCTCGCGGCCCCCCTCCGCGTCCGCCGCGGCGCCCTCGCCCTCCGCGCCCTCCGCCTCCGCCTCGCCGCACTCCGCCTCGCCCTCTGCGCACACACAGCCGCGAGTTACCCACCGCCACCGCTCTCGCCCGCTATTGGCGCGCACTCGCCGTGGTCGCGTCGTTTTATTTGTGTCGCCTCGGGCATTTACTGATAGATAGCGAGCGGTGGACGGTGGATCGGATCCCACTCGATATTATTCGATTGTTGACAATGCTAGTCGACGCCCCGGCTCTACACTCGCCCGGTGCGGTGGGGACGGAGTGAGCCGATGACAGTCCAACGAGCCGAATAGAACGGACTAAAATTAGATAATTGCTTTGTTGCCGTTTGTTTACTCATTAAGTTAATGGGTGAAATAACAGCGACCTCATTAGCCATTAAGGCTCGTCAGTAGATTATTGTTTAAATATTAAAAGCAACACTACTTCTAATTACTAAACTACTTCATGGTGTCAACAACTAATTGTAATTTATTTCAAAATATCGCACAAATAATATGACATAAATATCTGACAATTCTTACCTTTCGGACGGCGATTGTTGTTGATCTCAGCGATGAACGCTTCCAATTCGAACGGCTCCTGCTTAGTCCAACCGGCGCCGGCGCGCCACGCCTCGTGCAGCATCATGTGTCGCGCACTAACAGACTAACTCTACTAACCGGCCTTTTTTCCAACGAGCACGTCCGCGCACGTCGCTTGCTCAGCCGCGACTGCCGCGCCGCCCGCGCAACGACTGAAGCTCACGGTCTCCCCCGCGAACCGCCGCGTGACGTCACGCAAATCCCAGCCCGCCCCTAACAATTGCATCTACATACAGTATTATAGTGTAGTAGAGAATATAATTATATTACCCGCGATACTATTATTTCAGTTGTACTTGAACTTGACTTGTGCCGGACTTCTGGACGCGATTTGCCCTTCTGCCACTGCTGTAACCGTTTCGAAAGACCACACACTTTAGACGAACTTCTAAATTTTTTATTATACTAAGTGACGGGGCAAACAAGTCGTGCCTGATGGTAAGCGACACGCCTGTCTATAACAGTTGTAGTGCGACGCAGAGCTTTAAATCTCAAAGATCTGAGAGGCACTACCATTGCGCCCGTCACTCTGAGACATACGTTGAAAAGTCCCATGTACCTGTAATTTCATCAAAATGTAGAGGTGTTAATCATTCGGCTGTTCTCTACCGAGACTAAACTTTACCGTTTCTTGACTAACTTACAGAATTACCCATTGACATCGCTTCATTTTGAGGGCGCGATAAATAAAGTAACCGTAAACGACGAAGGGATGTACATAGTCCGCGTTTAATACATAGGAAGACAAAGGCAGCAGCTAGCCAGACTGATTGACGAAAGTTTGAAAAGTTTCTGCCGAGGACCCAATACGAATTAATGGGAATGTTCTCATATGAAGGTGAAATAGGTGACTTTGACTTGACTTGACTCCGTTGGATCCAATCCAACAAACGCGGCCATGGGCGCGATGCGCAAATACACACATCAAAAGTGTATAAGGACAGTCACGTTTTTGCTAATTACTGAAAATTAGGTTTCTCGATGATTTGTTTTTCAACACGAGTGGATTTTTTTGGTCAATTTAAGTTTGAAATTTAAATTATAAAATTGACCAAATATAAACCATCGGTTAAAAAATATCCTTGTACACTTTTAGATGTACCTATATATTTTAAAAACATTTAATTTGAAAGACGGTTGTTGTTAAAAATCCAACAGATCTCTCCGAAACCACACAATAAATACAAGTGACGTTTTAACGAGGAGATAAAACGTGTCGACATTACGTTTTCTCGTTTTCTCATTATTTATTTGAACCACAAGTTTAACATTAACAAATTGTTCAATTAGGTATTTTGAGATCATTGCCGAGTCTTGCATCTGTATTAACCGTGTTTGTGTGCGACCGCGTGTGTTGTATACAAGCAACACAATCTGGCGGCGATACGGCGGCGGCGATAAGGGCGGCAGGAGCGCAGACGCGGCGGCGGGCGGTGCTGCTGCGATCAGCTGACGCTATCGGCAGCATCACTATCGCGCGTAGTACGCCGCCGTCGCTGCCGGCGTCTCGCACAGATAAGCGCTATCACCACGTGGGCGCTTATCGCCACCATCTCCCGACCTACACGCCGCCGCGGTTGCGCGCCTGCACTCTGCCCACCCCGCACCGTCTCAGTCGCCAATTTGCCCACGTCCTGCGGCTGTATTGTACGAGCACATGCAATTCGTGGCTATTCGTTAATGTTCAATAGTATTAATAAGTCTTACATGGTGTGGTATCTTCTGGTTCTCCTGTGGCTTTTGTTTCTTGAAACGCCTTTAGCTTGCTTACCGCAGAAATTGAAAGGTAAGCACCTTTCAGTTTCTGTGGTAAGCACCTATAGAGAAACAGTTCTCTCCGGCGCTTGCGCTCACATGTCGACCGCGACGTTGGCGCAGCGGCGCGAATAGGTACGACATAAATGTTTCCTTGAAATAGTCGGCTGATGATATTTTCTAATAAAATAATTTGTTGATGTGTAGAATCCTTGCAGGCGCCAGTGACACTGATCACTGGTTTTGCTCTTTTAATTCTACGTTTTATGGCTTTGCTGAGCATAAGTATTTCATCGAGACTAAAAGAATGCAAAAAAGAAGACATGAGTAAATCATTCGCTGCATCTGTAGCCATCATCAGAGTCAGTACATTTACAGCTTCTGTGAAATGCGCGAACAAATCACCTCGCGCGGTAGTTCCTCCGGGAACCGACAAATTATCGCGTTAGCGGTAAAAGTGCTGTAAATCGAGCCCGAACTCAGTTTTTCAATATTCCGAGTATCAGCACGCATGTCACACTAGCATTGTAAAAAAACCTGTGGTGTTGTGACAGCGCGACGCCCCGCTGCGCGCGCGCACGAGCGCAGCCCCGCAGTGAAAGCAAATAACCCTGCTCGCCCCAGGCCCCTGCATGTCACAACAATGAACAACGTCACAATATTTCGCCAAAAAGTTAACCAGCTGCGTAAATGTAATTACAAACAACAAATTAGTAACGTGAGAACGTAACCAGGCTGACGTTCACTTTAACAAATGCGTGAAATTGAACGCTGCAGAAGTCGCAGACTCTATAGCTAATGAGGTTTTCGCGGAAGTCCTCGGCCGTGGGAGCCGCTGCACTTCCCTCAAACCGTGCTATTTATTTCTATATACGGCAGAGCCTTCACCTTCACCTTCTAACGCTAATCAGGTCCTTCCTGCTCGAAACAAAACACTATCACTTAAAACCTTTCAAATTTGGGAACAATAAACCCTGAAATGTATAATTGCATCATTTCCTTGTCAACAATAATATGCGCACTTAGGCAGATAATCGCGACCCTCTATTGAAGGCTAGCTGACTAACAGCGACGGAATGCGTGGGGTAGCGCCCGCGCAGCCTTCCGCTAATCTGTGCTTTATGGCCCTCGGCTTTGTCTCGTCAGTCGGCGGAATGCGCCGCGAGCTGGCCACCGCACGTCTAGCGGCTGGCGACGGCAGCGGCGTGCGTCACCAGCCTGCACCACTTGTGCTATCCCGCCTCAACTATAAACAAATGGTACCTACGTTTACATTTTGTTGAAGCTTCCTAAGAATAGAGTTAACAGAATTCCGATAAACTTAATCTGAAGTTACCTCGTTACATGCGGCGACTGTATTGTTTTCAATGGTTTAAGTACATTCAATGTAGATAATATGAGATCATGGATGTTTTACATTCATATCCCCGGCATTAGAATATTGTAGCTCTACTACTCTACACCGCAACTGGTTGCACCTAACCGTTGGGGATGTCGAAGATTTAAGCCAGAAGTATAGGCTCTCGTCGTTGCCAATCTCACCAATAGTAAGTGGACATGTACACAAGGATGCAAGACCTTTGCGTAGAAGATGCCTGTTACTTATGTGTGTGTACATCAAAGATGTCCCGGTTGTAACTTTCGGGAAATACAGAAGTCGTAATGGAATTGCTCTCCTCACTTGCCTACTAATTAAAGTGTTGCTTACTTTAACTTGAATTTTGTATTAAGTGAAATTATTATTATTAGAATATAGATACCCGCGTTCGATCAAATAATGATCAAATATGATCGACATCGAGTAGGTATATAACCAGAAGTAGAGACGAAATGTCATTTAATTTGTTTGAAAACAATTCTATCAAATCATTACGGGTACAACTGCGCTCCGATTGGCGAGCCCGAATTCGAAACAATTGACGGGTGTCGTCAATTGTTTCACTTCAAATAGGCCAGTTTTACTTGAGCTTTGCTATAATGGAAGAAAATTGGAAAGTTACCTTCTCGTATTTAATATTTAATTGTCGATGAAATGTAATTCTGTTTGTTTTATAATTACACATTTCGCTGTTTTTCCCACACCACTAAATGGAACAGCCCCCCATTGTTAGAGATATTATCTTTATTACAATAAATACAGAATATTTTTGGAATATACGCAGACGTA